GGGGACATGAGCCAAAAAAATGGTTTAGGGTTTAGGGTTTAGGGTTTAGGGTTTAGGGTTTAGGGTTTAGGGTTTAGGGTTTAGGGTTTAGGGTTTAGGGTTTAGGGTTCAGGGTTTAAGTTTCTGTACGTCTGACACACTGCCCCTTCAGCGGCATCTGGCTCTCCATTCGACAGGGTCCTGGCCCCTGGCCTTTCCTTGACCCATACCCTGCTTTGGACTAGACCCTGAAAAAAGAAAGCAAATACTTTTTAGGTATAAGTAGCTAACCCAGAGCCAAAAAAAGTTGTATAGTACTCCGAAGCCCAGAATAGCAGCCCTTGCGCCGCTTGCTGCTAGCCTCGGTTCGGGAAGCTTGTGCCAAGTGGGCAACACCCGGCGTCCACGTCAAGCCCGAAGGCAATGCGTCATCCTCCTCTTTGCTTCCCCCCAGCCCCAAAAACAATAACCACACCCGCAAACCCGATCCCACAGCTGCATCAATACCGCCCAACCCTACCCCTACCCTAAAGCAGCTATTGTCTTTTTGTTGAGATCAAAGCCGAAGCCCCCATACCTAAACCCTAAACCCTAAACCCTAAACCCTAAACCCTAAGCCCTAAGCCCTAAACCCTAAACCCTAAACCCTAAGCCCTAAACCCCCACCGCTGGGCACCCTTGCAGAATTCAGCGCCACGATGCTGGGCTCCAGCGTCGAGGCTCTGAGCTGGGTGTAGAGTAAGAGGGCCTCGTAGGGTTTAGGGTTTAGGGTTTAGGGTGTAGGGTTTAGGGTTTAGGGTTCAGGGTTTGGGGTTTGGGGTTTAGAGTTTAGGGTTTGGGGAGTTAAGGTTTAGGGCTTATGGTTTGGGCTTAGTGTTGGGCTTAGGGTGTTGGGTTTAGGGTTTAGGTTGGGCGGGAAAATGAAGGAAGAATAGTCACGGGAACGGTGCTGATAGCCGATTTTTTGAATTCCATACTAGACGACGGCAAGCATAGGAGTTCGCGGGCTTAAGATTTCAGACGAACTCGGGGTATTTTGGCACTTAGGGTGTTGGTGGGGGTTGCCGAGGGGTTTCGGCTAGGAGCTTGATTGGCTGGATCCGAGGCGAATCCACTTCATTTGGACAGGAGGTGGCTTTCCATTCTAGCAGTTGCCTTTGGTGGTTGCTCCGAAATTGTCAAAATTGGGGGTACCTTCTGGGGTCCTTGTTCTAAGGGGATCCTACTATTCGGTCTATATTAGGGGTCCCCTATTTTCATAAACGTCCATATGCAGGAACCTGATTAAACTCGGGGTTTACTGAAGGCTTCTGGAAACTCCTTAATTTTGGCACAGGTGTTGAGGGCGAGGATCCTAAACCCTACCAGCCTACAGCCTGAACCCTAAACCCTAAACCCTAACATGTTGAGTTCCTGATATACTTCGATAGCCTGCAAACGATTTTCAGAAGATGCTGACCAAGGACTAGCATCAAGAGAACGAACTGTGGGTAAACGAGCGGATCAGTGAATGAATCCTGCAAACTCGTGAAGATGGTAACCCCAAACCCTAAAACCCTAAACCCTAAAACCCGGAAGCCGTAAGCCCGAAACCCTAAAACCCTGAAACCCTAAACCCTACTACCCCAAACCCTGAACCCTGAACCCTAGCCCTAAACCCTAAACCCTGAAACCCTAATGCCCTAAACCCTAAACCCTAGCCCTAAACCCGAAACGGAGGCCATTTTCTCGAACCCTGCCTCGCCTGCTGCCACTCTCCGCCTTACGGCAAAGAGCTGAGGGTTTAGGGGCTCAGGGGTTTAGGGTTTAGGGTTCTAGGGTTTAGGGTTTAGGGTTTAGGGGCTTAGGGTTTTAGGGTTTCGGGTTCTAGGGTTTAGGGTTTCGGGTGTCGGGGTTTGGGGCTTTAGGGTTTAGGGCTTTGCAGGTTTAGGGGTTTAGGGGTTTAGGGCTTTTGGGTGTTAGGGCTTAGGGCTTTAGTGCTTTCGGGGGTTAAGGGTTCGGGTTCTGGTGTTGAGGGCTCCAAGGGTACTGTAGCGTAGTGTCTACCTCATACCCCATTCCTGCAGAGGGAACCTACGGAACTCTAGCCCTAAATAACCCTAAACCCAAACCCCCAAACCCAAAACCCTACACTCCTAAACCCTAGCCCTGAACCCCTAAACCCTAAACCCCAAACCCCAAACCCTAAAGTGTAAAAAGCCAAAACAGTGGTCAGGGTTCAGGTTTAGGGTTGAAAGGTGAGGTGTGTCCTCTAAACCCTAAACCCTAAAAAGCGAAACCCTAAAACGCTAGCACGCTAATTAAACCCTAAAACGCTAAACCCGCCTAAACCCTAAACCCAACGAAAATGCCATCAACCCACAAATCTCGGCCCAGATGCACTTCTCGCAGGCGCTCATCACGGTGCCAAAGGTGCGGACCGTCGGCCGGAGACCTCGGGGAAGCCTAAACCCCAAAACCCTGAACCCGAAACCCCAAACCCCAACCCTAAACCCTAAACCCTGAACCCTAACCCCCGAAACCCTAAACCCAAACCCCCTGAGCCCTGAACCCTAACCCCCTAAACCCTACACCCTAAACCCACAACGCCTGAACCCTAACCGGTTCGTGGTGTGCAGGTATGGCTCGGGCTTGTGGCATTTTGTGTGAGCAGCTGTTGCTGAGCACAGCTCTCCAAAGCCACGCCCAGGGATCCAAACGGGCCGGGCCTCTCTTCCCTGAACCCCTCTGGGTTGGAGAGTTTAGGGTTTAGGGTTTAGGGTTTAGGGTTTAGGGTTTAGGGTTTGGTTGGGGTGTAGGGGTTTCATGACTACACTTTCTGGTTCTCAGTAGGGAATTTAGGCTTTGGGGTGTAGGGGATTAGTCACTATACCTGCTGGTTCCTAGTAGGAGGTTTGAGCCAGTAGGGAATTTCGGGTTTGTAGTGAAGGGGTTTAGTGACTGTACTTCTTGGTTCCTAGTAAGTAGGAATTTAGGGTTTGGGGTGTAGGGCTTTGTCACTATACTTTCCTGAGGGGGTTTCTCACTATGCTCATACTGGTTCCTTGTGGGCATTTTGGGGTTTTGGGTTTTGGGTTTATAGGTCACTAGTCTTACTTCTTAGGGTCTCCAAGCCGGTAAACCGTAAACCCTCAAAGTCTAATCCCTGAACCCCGAATCCCAAACCCTCAAACCTCCGAAGCCCTAACGCGATACCTAGATCTAGAAACGCCTTGGAATGAGAAGGGTACTCTATTGTGAGAGAGGTTTCTAAGGGAACCTGACTGCTGAAGAAAGGGCATAGCACATGCTGTGTCCTAGTCAATCCCAAATCCGAAATCTTGAAACCCAAACTCTAAACACAGAAAAATCCAAATCCCCCAAAACCCTACACCTGAAAGTCTAAACCCCAAAACCCTTGACCCAAATCCTAAACCCCAAGCCCTAAACCCCAAACCGGCGATAAACCCGAAAACCCAAGCCCAAACACCCTAAACCCAAGCCCTAGACTCTAAATCCTAAACGCCAAATCCTAAACCCTAAACCCTGAACCCAAAATACTAACCCCAAACCCTACGTTGCTCACATCGTCTCCAGGGCCCCCGGACCTCGCCCGAGGAGCCCGGCGAAGAGGGACATTGCCAGCTGCCAGTGCCCGCCTCGAGAGGTTTAGGGTTTAGGGCGGTTTAGGGTTTAGGGTGTAGGGCGTAGGGTTTAGGGCTTTTAGGCTTAACCTGACGAACCCCATTTGTAAGTTACCTAAGAACCCTATCAGGGGTTTCGTAAAATTGAGAGCCTGCTACAAGAGTAGGTTTGGGGTTCTTAAGGTAGGGCTTAGAGGCGATGGTAGGTTTTAGGGCTTGTCATGTGGGGCTTTGCAGGGCTTGGGGTAGGGCTTTGGGGCTTACCGTGTTTAGGGCTTAGGAGCTTGGCAGAAATAAGGGACATCCTTCATGGAAGCGGTGTCAGTAGAGCACAGGAGAAGATTAGAGCACCTGTCCGGATCCGAAAACCTAAACACCAAGCCCTAAACAACAAACTCACAAAACACTAAACCGTCTAAACCATTCAAGATCTTCCAAAAAGTGGTCCCTCAAATCTACCACCAAACATTCGAGGACCCCACCCCGACAAAAGTAGCCCCCCACTCCGGAAATCCCGAGATCCCAAGAGGGCCTACTTGGGTTTTGCTTGGGCGCCTTCCTTGGGGATACTATGACCAAATGAACCATGGTTCATGTACCTGATTCGGAACTACAGTAGTCAGGGTACATGACCCCATTTTTAGGGTTCATTCCCAGGTTGGGTTCGGGGTCCAGTCATTGCCCCCCCCCCCCCCCGCTGGCAACGGCATTGAGAGGCACTTTTGCTCATGGCAGCGTTGGGCTCAGGGTTTAGGGTTTAGGGCGCGCAGCGCCTTCGCTGCCTGCTGGTCCCGGTGTCGCTTCGCGCTCACCTCCCTGACGTAAATTGCCTCGTCCTGGGCCCCCCTCGGCTCCCCCATGAACGACACGGGAGCTCCAGGCTTCTGAAGGCAAGGGACTAAAGGAGGGACCCTTAGAAGGTTTTTTTTTTTTGTGTGTGTGTGTGTTTTTTTTTTTTGGGGGGGAGGGGGGGGTATTTGGGGGCTGCTTTAGGTCTAGAAGGACTATAAGCCGGGACTATGTAAGGTAGGGGGTTGTGAAGGGGAATAAGATTAAGGGTCCCTTCTAGGGGTCCCTCCTTCTACCCCTCAAAACATCGGGCTCCAGGCTTCTGAAAGCTAAACCCAGAGATTCCGACGCGCTTTAACCTTAGTTTTTTACATTCCGGAAACTTGCCTTACGTCTATTATAATTCATGACGACTCTATAAAGTCAGGAATGTTTCGTAGCTAAGGGGCTTTCGGAGTCTCTGGGCAGCTTCCTTGAGGACGAAATGAACCCTAAAAATGGGGTCATGTACCCTGACGACTGTAGCTCCGATTAAGGTACATGAACCCTAAACCCTAAACCCTAAACCCTAAACCCTAAACCCTTGTAGGGTTCATGTAGTCCCCAAGGCTAGCATAGGCCGCAGGTGCGCCGGCAGCTTTCCTTCACGGCGTCGTCGCCGCAATCCGCGTTGTCGCAGGCTGCCGTGTCAGTGCAGCACGCCGTGGGGCAGCTTGCGCTACTCGCCTGGGAGCAACCTTGGTACCCAAAGGATCCATGTACATATATAGTATATACTTGGGCCCTAAAGCTACTATATAGGAACCCCTTTAAGGCCTAAGTATATACTATATAGGTACATGGATCCTTAGGGGTAGCTTGGTAGCCATTATGTTATAATAAGGGCACCCTTCTTTGGGTTGGTTCTTTTCTAAGGGAACCCATAAACGCAAAAACGTGAAGGGCACCACTGGGCTAGCAAGCAACAGGTGTGAGGGCAGAGCTGACGCAGTGGGGCAGCGGACCACAGCTCAGGGTTCGTGTTGCCGGCGCCTGGGTAGCCCAGCAAGCATGTCACAATAAGGGCACCCGTTTTTGGGTTGGTTTCTGTATACTTATAAGGGAACCTTACCCCAGGCGCAGAAGTTGGTCAGCGTCATCGGGTCTTCAGACACATTCAGCAGCGCAGTGCAACCCTCGGCCATCATCTTCCGGGCGATCCCTTGTAGCTGGCTCTTCTCCTAGGATGGCACTTAAAACCCTCTGAAAAGACTCCTGAATATGATCGGCTGAGGGTTTAGGGTTGTGAAAAGGGTTTAGGTTTAGGGTTTAGGGTTTCGGGTTCAGGGGATCCTCTTAAACCCAATAAGGGAGCAGATAAAATATCCCAAGGGTTTATTGAGTCTCTGACTGGCTTAGCACCACTGAAAGGGACTCCACGGCGTCGGGGTACATCTGCCAGAAGTTCTGCCAGCTGCTGGCATTGACCGGGATGTCAGTGCAGTTCAGGTCGGGCAAACCAGCGAAATTCACCGAGTCGCGACACCCCTTTGAGCATCCATGGTGCTCTACCTTGTACCAAGGGTTCACGGTCACCTTCCTTGGAATCCCAGTACCCATATCAAAATAAGGGCACCCTTTTTGGGTTGGTTACTTGCTAAGGACCCAAAAAAGGGGAAAAGGGCACCATTGGTCTGCCAAGCTTCCCACACCCACATGTCACACCGCAAGACAAGCGGAGGAGGTGGTACCCGTCATGGTCGCAGAGACCCTGCATGTCTTCGCAGGTGCTGTCGTCGGGAAAGCCGGCGCTATGCGCGGTGGAGTACCAGTAGGGGCCGTAAACATCCTTCACGGACGAGGAGTTGTCATTCTCAATCCAGGCACCAAAATCTTCCTTTTTTGAAGTTTCATTGGTCTCAGAAGAGATCCTACCTCGTCCATGAGAAGAGATCCTACCTGGTCCATGAGCCTTTAAGTCTTCACCCTAGGAAGGGTTGAGGTCTTGATTCGGTGCTACTTTATCCCCCCTGGACCCCCCTCCCACCGCCAGAAAAACGAACTGCATGAAGATGGTCGAAGGGCGCATGTCAGAACAGTTTTCGCGATGGCTTCCATTGTCTGGGTACGCTTCCTTTCGAACTTCCTATCGTTCTCGAACAGGATACGCTGATAAGCACTCCCAGCCGAAAAGGCATAGTCCGTAACAGCCTTCTCGATCAGGGTAGCATTCCTGTTGCTTGAGAAAGCCTTCGTCAGTCGCCCAATGGTCACTTCTTGGTTTTCATTGACGTCCACGACGAAATTCTGATCACCATCGCAAAACTTCTTCTTCACCTTGGCTTGTCCAGCAACCAACTTTATAAAACCGGGTACCCTTGTGGGGGGGGCGGGGGTGCTTGATGCTTTGACAATGGAACCAAACACTCATCCCTAAACCCCAAACTCCAAACCCTAAACCCTAAACCCGAAAACAACACGACAAACTGGCACCACTCAACTACCAGGTTGCGAGCTTCATGTTCTCACCCAACGGTTCCACCAGCTGGAACCTAGGCGGGCTATTCAAGCCCTCTGAAAAATATTCCTCAATATGGTTTAGGGTTTAGGGTTTAGGGTTTGCGGCCCTTAAGAACCCTAAGACCAACGTTTCCTCAATATGATCCTCTTAAACCCAGCACGGGGAAATATAAAATGTCCTAAGCGCCTACCAAGTGATCCTCTTGGAAACCCGGAGAAAGTCAGGGAAACCATAAACATGTCCCCAGGGCCCACCTAAAGAGTAGCCCAGTAACCATAGAATAGTAAGGGCAGCCTTTTGGGAGCTGGTTACTTTCTAACCCAAAGGATCCATGTACATATATAGTATATACTTGGGCCCTAAAGCTACTATATAGGAACCCCTTGAAGGCCTAAGTATATACTATATAGGTACATGGATCCTTAGGGCTTTTGGGAGTTGGTTACTTTCTAAGGGAACCCAGACCCAGAAAATGGGCAAAAGGGCACCACGCTGGGCTTCGGAGCCTTCATGGGTTCCCCCACCACCCCCCCCTGTATACAACCCTTCATAATCAAGGCCATTTAGAGCCAAATAAGCCTAATTAAGGTTATGCAAGGGGGGAATCTAGGAAGGGGGGGGGGGGGGGGTGGTCAAGGGGGGTGGCAGGGAAACCTACCCTAAACCCTAAACCCGAAACCCGAAACCCTAAACCCTAAACACTGAACCCAGCGTGCATGCAACGAGGGGCGAAAACCGACTTACGCCGATACGCCGGAACCACCCCCCTCCCCCAATCAGCAGCCACACCAAGACGCCGATACGCCGATACGCCGTTTCCCCCCCCCCCCCCCCCCCAAATACGCCGATACCTGACACCCCCCCCCCCTCCCGGATAAACCCTAACCCTAAACCCTACACAACCCCTTTAGGGACATTCGAACCCATCAAGCCAAGGTGCCAGGGCCACAGAAGCAGCCCTAACATGAAGAGCAGGAGGAGCAGGGCCTCAATCTGGCTGCGCCTCCGTGAGTAGACCACCTTTACGGCCTCCAGGTCCTGCAGGGCTTCAGGAAATATGGTTGGGGTTTGGGGTTTAGGGTTTAGGGTTTAGGGTTTAGGGTTAAGGGTTTAGGGTTTAGGGTTTAGGGTTTAGGGTTTAGGTTAGGGTTTAGGGTTTAGGGTTTCGGGTTTCGGGTTTAGCGTTTAAACCCTCAGACCCTACCCCCCCCCCCCTTCTTCCCCGTCCCCCTCCAGGTATCGCCGGCGTAAGATTTCCGCGGCACTTCGCAGCCCAAGCCCTTGGGGAGCCTTTCCCACTTTCCTTCCAAAGCTCGGCTGGGAGCTCATGAGCTTTGCTCAAATCCTGGAATCCCTGCGCCCTAAACCCTAAACCCTAAACCCTAAATTCTAAACCCTAAACCCTAAACCCACCGCCAAGCCTTGGGGGGTGGGGGGGGGGGTCGCAGTTGCGAAGGAGGGGTTCCTTTATCTGCATCTTGGGGACTGCTTGGCGCTTCCTTGCTTAATTAAGGGGGGGAGGCCATGTAGAACAAAATCCCATGGCCCCTTCGTCCCTCTAGGGTTTAGGGTTTATAGGGTTTATAGGGTTTATAGGGTTTAGGGTTTAGGGTTTAGGGATTAGGGTTTAGTGTTTAGTGTTTAGGGTTTAGGTCGTCCCTTGCACGTCCTGAATCTTGATCTGTACCTTCTTGGGCATCAGGGCGGCGAAGAACATCTCGTCCACGTCCAAAATAGCCCCAAGTGCCACAGCATTCCTTCAGGGCGTCTGAGTTCATAAGCCCCCAAAAGGGGTTTAGGGTTCAGGGTTTAGGGTTAGTTGCTGAGTACATAAGCCCCCCCCCCCCAAAAAGTGTACACTTTCAGTTCTACAGGGGATAGTATCCCAAAAAGTGAAAAGTGTACTCATTCGGCTACTAAGATTCAACATCAGCTCTTTGATGGATGTCGTGTTGGCCAGCCAAACGATGCCACCATACAGCAAGAGCCCTGCGATCATGCCTCGTATCAGCCGTGCCAGTAGGTACACGCAGCGGCGGGCACGGGAGATGCTTACGAAACGTCCCTGCTCGAACCGGGTGCGTGCGCCCGTGGGCACCTGCAAGATCGCCTCACACGACAGGCCAATTGCCCGAAACTCGTTGCACAGGTAGAGGCACCAGAATAAGATGCACAACATGCATAGCAGAATGCCTCGACGTAACTCCGTCGGCTCAAACTGCGCCGGCTTGATGCTCAAGAAAGCATTGATCTGCCCAATCAGCGTCGCCTGGCTCGTGGAAACAATGATGGTGTCGTCCTTATTGCACACCTTGGTCGCCCAGTAACATTATTTTAATGTATAGCGGGGCTGAAGATTGGAATAGGGTTTTGGGGGGTTATTATGGCATAATTACAAAAGGGCCCTTAAGGGAATAGTATTCGCAATTATTCCGACCCCTCTATTGCCCTCTCTTGGGTTGGCTACTTGATAAGGGAACCTGGATCCCCTCCCCCCCCCCCCCCAAAAAAAAAAAAAGTAAAGGGTACCACTGGGCTGCCAAGACACACGGGAGACAAGACTCGTCTCCGAAAGGTCCATGTGCTTGTAGTCATGTGCCTTAGGGGACGACATGAACCCTAACAATGGGGTGTCTCATAATACCCTGACTACTGTAGTTCCTATTCAGGTAAGTACTATGAACCAACCCTAAACCCTAAACCCTAAACCCTAAACCCTATAAAAGGGTTCATATAGTCCCCAAGGTGCCAGCCCTCTTCTCCACTTCTCCGCGTGGCCGAGATGCTTGGAGAAGGGTTCCTCGGCGAAAAACAAGCGCCTGCCCTAAACCCTAAACCCTAAACCCTAAACCCTAAACCCTAAACCCTAAACCCTAAACCCTAAACCCTAAATAAGCCCTAAACCCTAAGCCCAAAGCCCTAAACCCTAAACCCTAAACCCTAAACTCCCTCTCGACCCAAGGTGCCCCCAGGAAGTCTTCCGAGAGGAGGATGAGGCTGAAGGTGACCTGCAGCGCGGCGCTGGCGAGGAGGAGGGCGCAGCTGATGATCGCGTCTAGCCATCCAGCCTCTGTGAACCCCAGTACCTCAAGGTTTAGGGTTTAGGGTTTAGGGTTTAGGGTTTTAGGGTTTAGGGTTTAGGGTTTAGGGTTTAGGGTTTAGGGTTTAGGGTTTAGGGCTTAGGGTTTAGGGTTTAGGTTTTTAGGGTTTAAGGGTTGGGGGTTTAGGGTTTCGGGTAGCTCAGGGTAGTTACACGGTCCGTATGGGCCCTTAAATGGGTACCCCTTAGTTGTATACCCCTTGTGTACCCTTACAGGAGCCAAGCCAGAACCCTTTAAGGGAGGTACGGGGCCATATTGAGGGACCATGTAACTACCCCAAGACTTTCCTGATTGTTTTTTTTAATTGTTTTTGGGAGGGGGGGGGGGGCTAGAAAGACTAAACTTTTTAGCGGATATTGGGATTGTTTCAAGAACCTGGTGATTTTCGGGGCCCATGTCGAGATGTACGAGACCAGTTCCAAATGAATCTCAGGCACCAGCACCACATTCCAGGTTGATTCGTGAAAGGCCACGGGCTCTAAGACCTCTCCAATGTCCTGGTTCTTAGTAAGGAAGGAGGGAAGTCGCGCTCTATACATATACCTACATTATTTAAGGGGCACCTCATTCCCTCAAATTAAGAATCAGGCAGTTCAAGGTCCTTGGTGCCCCGCACTGCCCCGTTCTGAGGTGTCTCTTCCCAGGCCTCAGGGGCCTCCGGGGCAATCGGCACGACTTGTGCGTCGGTCCGAGGAATGTGCCCGGGATAGATATCGTGTGCAGCATCTGGGGGAAGATCGCTCCCCGCGATGTGTTCTAGCTTTGCGCCCGCTGCTTTCCGAGGCATCTCCCCCTTGAGGAGGCACAGCTCCGTGTCCAGATGGTCCACTCTTGCGCTTAGCCTAAGTTGTGCCCAAAAAAAGAGCGCAAAAACCCTAAGCCCGAAACCCTAGTGAGGAGGTCGTCCTCTTTTCGAACGGCGGAATGGGGTTGTAGGGGATCCTGCCCTGAGATGACAAAAAGGAATAAGAGTACTACGCGGACGTATATCCTACATTTTACTAAGGGTTAACTCGGTAGCCCAGTAACCATCTATCGGAAGGGTGCCTAGTTACTTTACAACAGAGCCCTTACCCAAAACGAAGGTAAAGAGTACCACTAGGCTGCCAAGTTTACGGTTTAGGGTACGGGGTACAATCCCTACTAGGAATCCGAGTATCTTGGCCGATACAGTGAAAAAGTGAAGGGAATACTACTGTTAAGCACATCCTAAATTTTTCCCCAGGGTGGAGGGTTTAGGGTGGAGGGTTTAGGGTAGACCCCCTACTGGGAATCCGAGACTCTTTGCCACTGCGCTTTGCAGTTCGGCATTGAACCTTAGTTGCTGAGTTCACAAGCCCCAACCTAAACCCTAAACCCTAAACCCTGAACCCTAAACCCTAAACCTTAAACCCTAAACCCTAAACCCTGAAAAGTGTACTCATTCGGCTACCAAGGAACTCTTCTCGCAGCTTCTGCTCAAGCGTCCAAATCTTCTTCTCCAACTTCGAGGCCGACATCGGCGTTTAGGGTTTAGGGTTTAGGGTTTCGGGTTTCGGGTTTAGGGCTTAGGCTTTTGGTTTCCCTGTCCCTGCCAATCCTAAACCAGATAGTTCAGGGTTTGTATTGTTTGGGCAAGACTATGACATATGTGACAGCCTCTGATGTCGCTCAAGCATCTTACGAGCTTTCGCGGCCACATCCACGACAGCAAGAAAAAAACAGCGGTTGAAGGTTTTAGGGTCTAGGGTCTAGGATTTAGGGTTAGGGTTTAGGTTGGGATGTCCCCCCTTATGCTAACAGTCCTTAATAGGGATTCTAATAGGGGGCACGATAATCCCTACTAAGGACTGCTAGTATAAGGAGGAACATCCCAAGGCATAGGGGTTAGAGGGTGATTACTAGGATGCTCACAGCTTGCACCAGCTTGGTAAAGGCCCTCTGATAAGTCACCTTATGCACGTCCCTGCTGACACCATCAAAACCCTACTGTGAACCCGAAACAGAACAACGACTGCTGGCTTCACGCAGCTACAAGATCACTAGACCCTAACACCTAGACCCTCTCTTGAGGCTGAGGGTTTAGGGTTTAGGGTTTAGGGTTTAGGGTTTAGGGTTTAGGGTTTAGGGTTTAGGGTTTAGGGTTTAGGGTTTAGGGTTTAGGGTTTAGGGGTTAGGGTTTAGGGTTTAGGGTTTAGGGGTTCGGGTTTCGGGTTTAGGGTCTATGCGGTTTTAGGGCTGTCTTCTTAGCCTACCTTACTGCCTGTCTCCTTATCCAAAAGCAAGAGTCGCCTAGGAACGAACAGGGTCTCCTTTTTGGGTTCAGGGTTTAGGGTTTAGGGTTTAGGGTTTAGGGTTTAGGGAACCCAAGCCCTGAAAAAGGGAATCCGGGCCGGCACTCTGGCGCCGTGAAGATGAATTATCCCATCAAGACGTTGGGGCTTCAATATCATACACTCATTGTAGCTCTGAGGTTAGGGTGGTCCAAGAAGGGTCCATTGTTGCCCTAAACCCTAAACGCTAAACCCTAAACCCTGAACTCCAAACCCTAAACCCTAAACCCTAAACCCTAAACCCTTAGGCTGTATGGCTTTAGGGCTTTAGGTCACCCTTTGAGGGGTTTGGGGGGTGTCGGCTTCCGGGTGCATGGGCCCTGAAACTCGGCTTAGGGTTTAGGGTTTAGGGTTTAGGGTTTCGGGTTTCGGGTTTCGGGTTTAGGGTTTGGGGTTTGGGGTTTGGGGTTTGGGGTTTGGGGTTTGGGGTTTGGGGTTTGGCCTTTGTCGCACGCGTTGAGGGCAGTATTGTAGACGACCTTCGCAGGATTGCGGGTAGTGGGCATCTTCGGGGTGGAGCCCGATGGGTTCAGCAACTAGTTTAGGGTTTAGGGTTTAAGGTTTGGGGTTTAGGGTTTGGGGTTTGGGGTTTAGGGTTTAGGGTTTAGGGCTTGGGATTTGGGGCTCAGAGATTGAGGATTCGGGTTTAGGGCTCCTTTCTGAATTCTGGCCCTCTCCTAAGAAACCCCCAGCCCTAAAACTAGGATGGCACAAAGGCCCCTAGTTTGGATCCTGGCCGTATTGCTATCACCTCAACCTCAAACCCTAAACCCTAACCCTAAACCCTAAACCCTAAACCCTAAACCCTAAACCCTAAACCCTAAACCCTAAACCCTAAACCCTAAACCCTAAACCCACCTGATCCCTAGCCAGCAACGCACAACAAAAACCAAGACAGGAATTGCGTGTGAGCCTCATGGTTAGCCTACGGGGTTGGGGTCTCTTGCTGCAGGCCTTGTTTACTAGGATGGCCCCTAAAACCCTCCGAAAACTATTCCTGAATGTCATCCTTTGAAACCCAACAAGGGGACATATAACATGCCCCAAAGGCCTACCTAGTTTAGGGTGTGGGACTGTTGGAACATCATTCTCCTACCCCAAAAGGGTTACTACAGGGAATCCCAGCCCCAATATGGGCCCTTAGACCATGTTCCAACTTTATGGAGCTTACAGAAGGGCATAAGGCTTCTATAGGGCTGAGGGTTGGGTAGATTTAGGGAATTCGTGCATTAAAACAACGTTGACGTTGTCAATTCGTAGCTTGACATTGGCATTATTCGGCCCGAGCCAGCTGCCACGGTGTCCCCTGCCGCGCTGTCTATCACGCTGCCTCGGCTGCAGACGCTTGCCGGCTTTAAGCCTTGGGATATTTCAGGGGTTGGGGTTGATCGGGCTTCATGATGTTGTAGGAGCTTTGGGTTTGTTGGGCTCAAGTAAGGGCTCATGACAGAGGCAGCTGACGGATGCAGCCAAGACTTCTGCAGTGTTTGCTGCCGGCTAAAACCCCAACGTCCGGAAGCCCTCAGCACTACAAACCTTCACCTTCAGCCCCACGTCCTACACCTCAACTCCAAAACCCTCCTGGGTAGCCCAGTAACCACCTTAGAATCAGAGAAGAAGGGTGCCCTTTTTTGGTTGCTTACTTGATAAGGAAACCCTGAACCCAAATAAAAAAGGTAAGGAGTACCACTGGGCTACCAGGTACCATATGCCGCAAGAAGTCGCCACCCCAAACATGAAAGGGTCTTACCCCTACCTTTGGCGTGTTCCATGGAAAAAAAGGTGTATACTTCGAAGGTGTAAGTAGCGATCATAGGAACCCAGAACCCAAAACAGGACTGAAGTATAGTACTCCAGAACCCTAAACCCTAGCCCTAAACCCTAAACCCTAAAACCCTAAACCCTAAACCCCAAAAAATATAGTCCCCAAAGACCCAGGTACTGGGCCGCCCTGCCGAACTGTCCGAAGAGAGCGACCGAGTGCTGCCACCTCTCAACGACCCAACTCGAAACCCACGTGGGGGTTTAGGGTTTAGGGTTTAGGGTTTAAGGTCTTATACTAAGGAGCCCCAATAAGGTAACCCTAACTTCGGAAACCCCCATATTGAGGGAGCCAGTTGGGTCAGAGCGGTTGTGTTTAGTTGCGCGAGGGAGTACCTAGTTGTCCAGTAACCTGGGGGAATTAAAGGTTAACCTTTGGGATTATAAGGGGATTATACTACCCCAAAAAGGTTAAAGGTTACCTACTCTACTACTAGGAGTATGACAGGCAAAAAACCATCGCGAGGGAGTACGACAGGCAAGAACCCATGGCGATCATTGCGGCGCCTGCTATGAAAATCATGGCCGGCTCAGGCTACTCAAGACCTACTCGAACCCCCGGACCCTGCAGCCCTAAACCCAAAACCCTAATTAGACCTAGACCCTAAACCCCAAACCCTGAACCCAATAAACCCTAAACCCTAAACAACCCAAAACCCCACACCCTAAACCCCAAACCCCAAACCCCAAACCCCAAACCCTAAACCCTAAACCCTAAACCCTAATCCTAAACGGCTCCTTTGCAGAAGCACCCGAAGCCTTAAGGCGCCAGGCGTCTTCGGGCTTAGAGGGGTTTAGAGGGGGTCGAACTGCAAAGCCTCAACCCTGAGGTGTTGGGATTTAGGGTTTTAGGGTTTTAGGGTGTTAGAGTTTAAGGTTTTTAGGGATTTGGAGTTTTAGGGTTTTGGGTTTTAAGGTGTTAGGGTTTAGGGTTTTAGGGTTTTAGGGTTTTAGGGTTTTAGGGTTTTAGGGTTTTAGGGTTTTGGAGTTTTAGGGTTTTTGGGTTTTAGGGTTTTAGGGCTTTGGGGCTTTAGGTCTTTCGGGTTTTAGAGTTTTAGGGTGTTAGGGTTTGAGGGCGTTTGGGTTTTAGAGCTTAAGTTTTTTAGGGTTTTCGAGTTCAGGGCTCCAAAAACATCGACGGGACTTCGAGTTCTTAAGGGTTTGAAGGCATTTGGGGATTTCCGAACATAGGGGTACCCCCTTTGAAAGAACCCCCCCCCCCCCCCCGCAAAAAAAAAAAAAAAAAAAAAAAAACTACGACAGAATCCTTTGAAAGGAACCCCTAAAACGGGTACCCCTATCTTTAAAACCCTAAACCCTAAACCCCCATTTAGATTTTGCATAAAATGAGCTGATTGAGGGGCCTCATGGATGGCTTGTGGAAGCCCCCTTGGGGCTTGTGGGATTTTGGGATTTAGGGTTTAGGGTTTGGAGATGAGGGTTTAGGATTTAAGGTTTAGGGTTCAGAGTGTAGGGTTGAGAAACTCGGTTTGAGAGTTGAGGGCGTTTAGGGTTTTGGGCTCGGGCCTGCTCACTTTGTTGCAGGCGTTCATCGCGGCCTCTGCAATTGAGATCTCCGGGCCGCGTGGTTTTTTGATTGTGTGTCTATGTCTGTCTGTCTGCCTTCCTGCTTGGCTGCCTGGCTGTCTGTCTT